CACATATTGGCATTTTCAAGGTGTGACTTTAAAGTTCCATGATCCTGAAGACTTTTGCTTGTCATATTTTCTGAATGTCCATGTTACTAATATTTTATTAATAACATTTGATTGTCATTATGCTGTTAAACATTATGTAATGTTGCATCAAAATTTGAAGAAACCCCTATTTTGTGCACTGCTCCTATGATGACCATTTAAGGGAAATCATGTCACTTACTGTTCTCAAACTTACAGGAAAGAAACATAGGTCTAACATACAGCTTCAATAGGCAACGCAGTCTGTTTGGTAAATTTTTCTGGCAATTTAACAGTTTTTTGTGAAAATTTAATTTTTCACTTATTTGCATCTTTATTTTCTGTTTTTTTTGTCTGTACATTTGACAGCTTTGCTGCCTTGTATTGCCTAGGCGGTAGAGAGTGTCCGAGTATTGGTCTTGCAGATTGACCTCTACTCTGTCATGCTCCATTAGTCTAATGGGTGTAAAAACTGAACCTTTGAGTATACTTACGGGGAGCGGCCAAGTGAAACCAGACCACTATAATTGATCAAAACAAATCCATCAGTTCACAAATAAACCATCAACCTGGGCATATTTCATGATTATCCATTTCAACTGACCATTTTAGTTTCGTGCATTTATATTTTTGTTCAGTATAGGTTATTTCTTAAAATGAGAACATTCCTATTGAGTGGTAGCAACAAAATGAACAAAAAAAAAAAGAAAACGGGCTACTCTATAATTGTATTCTAAGCAGTTAAAGCACCACAAATACTATGTAGAAATATATATTATGTATATATTGTTATGATTGTAAAATTATGTATCTGAAAGTTTAATTATTTTTGCCCATTGGAAAGATTGTAATGAGTAATAACTGTATATGTGTCTCCAGGTGGTGGAGAGGAGCAAGGAGACCAGAGAGGAGTCCAGGGACAACAGGATCAGGCAGTATTTCTATGGCAAGAAGAATGACCTGTTCCCACACACATTTGAGGTGAAGTTCAATGAGGTGAAGATTTATAAGATTGGAGGTAAGATCATAGTGTAGAAAATCATATTTAGTCATGGAAAGGGTGGTTATTAAATAATCTTATATTCTGAAACTGAAGTGAATACATGTTTGAGATATAATAAGAAATTAAAGAAAAATTATCAGTTTTGTAATCATTTCTTTTCTTAAGCAAATCATAAATTAGAATTAGTTTGTCATTAGTGAAAACTTTACACACTGACATGAATTAAGGTTATTAAATAATTTCTTCACCACAACAAACTCACACTTTAAATAATCAGTGATAAATGGTTGTGTTCTAGCCCCCAGTCTCCCAGATAGCTGTATGCCCATAGGGATGGTGGTCCAGGATAACAAGACCAAGCTGGTACCCATCCAACCCAGTAAGTGTCTGTGTGAATACAACTATTAGTGTAAAATATTGACATGGAGTTTTGAAAAATAAATTTTGTATAAAAAATAGTAGTATTTGTGTAAATACAATACTTTTGTGTAAAATCTGAACTTGGGAGTTTTGGAAAGTAAATTTGATTTAAAAAAGTAGTGAACCTGATGTTAATGGTGAAATGCACTTAGTCTTAGTTAAAGAAACCAAGGGCTGTTTTTAGAAGAAGATTTTATGCTTAAAGTTTTTCTGAACTTGAGGATAAATCAATAGTCTTTGTCCAGCAGTTCTATCAGTGGGTCATCTAACTTGCTAATTTACAAACTTTCTAATTTGAAATTTTACTTGTGACTGTAGCTCATTTACGGTTGCAAACAAGTCTGTATCCAGCAGAGTTCTGTCAGTTGGCCATCTTGAAAGTGTATTTTATTGCAATTTCTGACTGTAATACATTCAGTAATTTACTGTTAATATTGCAGGCCAGTCTTTGTCCAACAGAGTTCTCAGCATCAGCCTTGGAGAAGTGGGAGATGATGACATTGTCACCACAAATGTTGCTGGCTTTATTGTTATGTAAGTTATACAATGTTGTCCCCAGAGTGACTAGTGGAGAGATGTTTGTCTGGATTGATTGTAATGGTGTTTCAGTGTTTTTGTCACCAAATTTGCTCTCTCTCTTGTGTACACAGATGTATTTGCACATACAATGTGTATCTTTGTAATATGTGTGTATCTTATGTAAAACATTGTCCAGATAAATTTTTCTTGCAATGGCTTATAATAGTGAATACACATCAGTATCAACATTTATTGGGAACTCCATGCGTGCGACTATTTAAATGAATGTGATGAAAATTTGAGTAATACAAGATAATCTTGTCTTCTTTTCCAGGCATTTTTGCCCCAACAAGCAATAAAAATTTGGAAAATCTAATGTCATATTAAATAAAACCGTTTCATGTGCACTTTAATGCTGTTCTACAGTATAGTACTGTCTCAATTGATACTAATATTTTACAGCACACAAGTTGACATGGACAGGCAGAGTTACACGCTGTTGTCCCCGTCACCAAGACCCCTCCCTAGGAGTGTACTGCTGGTCTCAGATATACCCTTTATGGACATTAAATAATGTACTAGGAACAATGTGAGGGTTTGAAATCACCATCCATCCATTCATCCATCCATCATACCAAGACCAACTGTCATTGGCCAGCCATTGAGACAAATTCAAGCTAGTTCAGATGTTCTTTTCATAAATGTGAAGTGCATGAAAACATCATCTATCACTTTGAGAACAAGTCTAGAGAATAGATCTTTCAGCCATTGAGACATCCAGTCTTAAATATTCCTTTTACTAACAAATACCAAGAAGTGCAGGGGCAAGTGCTTTAAATTACCAGCCATCCATTAATGTGATGCGTCTGGCTTAGATGAAGGGCCAACTTAAGGCCATGGCTGTTGCTCACAATGGCAGGTTCAAGGCAAGGCAGCTTCTCTAATCACATATGCCACATGTGATATTATTATTAAGGAAGAAGAGACAATTGTTTGTAACTACCCAGACTGTCAGTTAATATAAAGTAATGTGCTACTTGTCAGTTATTTTGTCCGATTTGCATAATGTCAAGAAAACCTCAGCCATTCTCAGGTATACCTTTCATGGACATTATTTTAGGCAAAGGCCAGTGTTTAATACTACTGTAGCAGTACTTTGTGGTTCAGGATGAGAAGTTTTAGTGATAAACTAAGTCTAGCGGCTTTTCTGGACAATGTCTCTCGCCTGTTGTGTTCGTGGATTATGAAAGTCTCAAAGTAATGAGCATTTCTTTTTTCACTCTTTGGTAAAGTGGTAAAAAAGTTCATACAGTGCAGGAAAAAAAGTATGCTAAGGAGCATACATTTAAAAAAAAAATATATCAGTAGATTGCTTAACAAGGCAATTTGTGAAAAGGATGAACTCTTGTGAAATACAAGGTCAGAAAATAACTCGATTACGAATTATTTTATTCCTAAGCTTTTACACAATTTATATTTGTTTTTAAAACGGTCTTTTGTAAAGAAAAATCAGTGCATCTTTTAGTGGTTTGAATAAAATTTTCTGAGAATGACAATGGATTGTTCAGAAGTCGATTTCAATACATACATGCAGTTATTTAACTTGTAAAAAATGTGTTCTTTAAAAATATTTTTAATTTCAATAATGTCTACAAAATCACACCAAAATTTGACAAATATATAAACGTAGCATTCAATACATTTGTTATGACATCAGATAAGCATTTACTTGATTCGAAAATTATCTTAAAATTGACATTTCAAGCCATTCCAATTTCTAAGTCATGGGGACTGGATGTCAAGAATTCACTAGCCTGACTACTAAACTACTGTAGGATCCACCATACATGTAGAATATCTTAGGAAAAAAAAAAAGATGTCCTGCCTCTAAGCTTTAAGGCATGAATGCACTTCCGGCCTAAAAGAATAATTTTACCTGAAGGTATCATTATTTCCTCTTTTTAAGAGAAAGTTTGCTTTTATGCAAAGTAAACATGGCAGACATGAGATTCCATGAATTATATTTCATACAATAAAATACATACAAAAATTGGTAGTGCGATTATCAAAGGCAAGTTGATTGCATTGGTCCTTCTATTTTGACCTTGGTGCCATTGCATCTGGTCCACCTTACTTTAACATGCTTGGTATAAATTAGACATTACACAACATAATTACCCTAAAATATATCCCCTACAGAGATAATTGGTAGTGAAGCATTCAATATTATAAGGTCTCGCCTTATTCAAAGCATTAAAAATGGAATAACACTGATGCAGTAAATTATCCATATATTTTTCTCCTATGACAGTGATGCTTCATTCAGTGATATTGATGGTAAATGGTTGCATTTGTCATTTCTAGTTATTAAGTACATTAAAGCTTTTTATATTAAGTTTTTTCTCCTTATATTATACCTATGGTTCATCTATAGAGCAACACCTTAACAAAGACCTCAAGGACTTGAAGACTTTTGGAATATAAAAAGGGCAATTTTCTGTCATTTGTAAGTGTGCTAAAGAAAGGAAAAAAACATTTCTGGCAAACTTTGTACTTATACACACTGATGATAAAACAATTTATGAGTGACCACAAAACTAAAAAAAAAAGAATAAAACTTATATATTAAATAATACAAAAAGTAGTAATTTTATTGGGTTCATTTAACTGAACACATACTATGTAAAATTGGCACTTTTAGCGTCTAAACAGATAAAATCTATACTTATTAACAGTACTTTAGTTGAGATCTTCTCTCAAAAATTTTTGTGGATCATTCTGACTAGATCTTAATATTTATGGCCACAGTGACTGGCTGTTTGCTTAATTTTATTTTAGCTAAAAAATTAAAAATATTCTAAACAGAAGCATTATGACATAACTTATATCAATCCTGACCCGTGAACCTTTTCACTTAAATTCCACTAGTCAACCACTGTCATTTATGACCTTGACCTGTGAACCCTGCCCTTTGCCCTCTTCCACCTCGCCAAGTCCCCCTGCCTCCTCCCCTGTACCCACCCCCACCCCTACCCCCACCCCTACCCCTTTGACCACCACCATATCTCCCATACTCCTTGTATTGTGCATCCACTGGTGGCTTCCTGTCCTTCTTTCTGACCTGTGTCCACTCTTCTCTGGCCGGTGAGTGCCCACTGGGGCTGGACTTACGGGCTCTGTTATCATGGCTGGAATGCACTGAAATATCTGAGTCAGAAATATGTTCATTTGAAGTAGAGGTGGAGAGGCGGCTGGCACTGGAGTCTGTCGTGCTGGATGAGAATTGGGTCATCAATGGCTGGCCTCCTGTAAATGCGTCACTGTGTGCTGGCTGTGACAGAGTACTGTCACTTGTCAAAGTCTCTCCAGCGTATGTCTGAGCTCCTCTACCACTGACGGAAGCCATCTTAGGAGAAGGTGTGGGGAAATCACTCACACTTCTACGATACCCATCCCTTTGGCNCCTGCGTTTTAGTAAGATTGATTACTCCTGTGAGTTTCATGACAACAGGCCTAACAGTTTTCCTTAAAATGTGTTTACAGTGTTGCATATATGCTGAAAAGTGAAAAAACAGCATAACTTCTACAATAATGGCCCGATCATGCTGATTTTCGAACTTGACCTGCATTTTATGAATATTCATCAGCTCTGTAAATATAAAGCCAAAAAATAAAACTGCCTTCCACTTATCGTGTTTACAAGGAAAGTGCACGGCGCCGGCGACGGCATCGGCATCGGCATCGGCGACGGCGACGACAGACGCAGGTGATGGCAATATGTACAGACACATCTGTGTCTGTACATAAAAAAAGGAGATCCTGCCTCTAAGCTTTAAGGCATGAATGCACTTCTGGCCTAAAGGAATAATTTTACCTGAAGGTATCATTATTTCCTCTTTTTAAGAGGAAGTTTGCTTTTATGCAAAGTCATGGCAGACATGAGATTCCATGAATTACATTTCATACAATAAGATACATACAAAAATTGGTAGTACGATTATCAAAGGCAAGTTGATTGCATTGGTCCTACTATAATGACCTTGTGCCATTGCATCTGGTCCACCTTAACTTAACATGCTTGATATAAATTAGACATTACACAACATAATTACCCTAAAATATATCCCATACAGAGATAATTGGTATTGAATAGCATTCAATATTATAAGGTCTCACCTTTTTCAAAGCATTAAAAATGGAATAACACTGATGCAGTAAATTATCCATATATTTTTCTCCTATGACAGTGATGCTTCATTCAGTGATATTGATGGTAAATGGTTGCATTTGTCATTTCTAATTATTAAGTACATTAAAGCTTTTTATATTAAGTTTTTTCTCCTTATATTATACCTATGGTTCATCCATATAGCAACTCTTTAACAAAGACCTCAAGGACTTGAAGACTTTTGGAATATAAAAAGGGCAACTTTCTGTCATTTGTAAGTGTGCTAAAGAAAGGAAAAAAATTATTTCTGGCAAACTTTGTACTTATACACACTGATGATAAAACAATTTATGAGTGACCACAAAACTAAAAAAAAAAAAAGAATAAAACTTATTAAATAATACAAAAGTAGTAATTTTATTGGATTTATTTAACTGAACACATTCTATGTAAAATTGGCACTTTTAGCGTCTAAACAGATAAAATCTATACTTATTAACAGTACTTTAGTTGAGATCTTCTCTCAAAAATTTTTGTGGATCATTCTGACTAGATCTTAATATTTATGGCCACAGTGACTGGCTGTTTGCTTAATTTTATTTTAGCTAAAAAATTAAAAATATTCTAAACAGAAGCATTATGACATAACTTATATCAATCCTGACCCGTGAACCTTTTCACTTAAATTCCACTAGTCAACTACTGTCATTTATGACCTTGACCTGTGAACCCTGCCCTTTGCCCTCTTCCACTTCGCCAATTCCCCCTGCCTCCTCCCCTGTACCCACCCCCACCCCCACCCCCACCCCTACCCCTACCCCTCTGACCACCACCATATCTCCCATACTCCTTGTATTGTGCATCCACTGGTGGCTTCCTGTCCTTCTTTCTGACCTGTGTCCACTCTTCTCTGGCCGGTGAGTGCCCACTGGGGCTGGACTTACGGGCTCTGTTATCATGGCTGGAATGCACTGAAATATCTGAGTCAGAAATATGTTCATTTGAAGTAGAGGTGGAGAGGCGGCTGGCACTGGAGTCTGTCGTGCTGGATGAGAATTGGGTCATCAATGGCTGGCCTCCTGTAAATGCGTCACTGTGTGCTGGCTGTGACAGAGTACTGTCACTTGTCAAAGTCTCTCCAGCGTATGTCTGAGCTCCTCTACCACTGACGGAAGCCATCTTAGGAGAAGGTGTGGGGAAATCACTCACACTTCTACGATACCCATCCCTTTGGCCTGCTGCTTCACGTGTACTACTGCCATGCTGATTTCTGCCACCTCTTTGCGAATGTTGCCCCTTTTGTGTATTCTGACCTTGTGAAATTCCATTCCAGTTCTTAAAATCACGGTGTACCTGATACACAGAGCTTTGTTCCCTTTGTTTATTCCTATTACTACTATTGCTAGGGGTGATATTTTGCCTCCCTGAGTTCATTTTGTCTGAGATGGCACCTCCTATGTGCTGTACATCAGGAGCACTTACACTTTTCCCTCTGGTAGTAGTGTCAGACTCCCACTGAGAACTGTACCCTGCAGGACCTACGTAGCTGACAGAATGCTTCAGTTGGCCTGGTGCTTGCCTGTTGTTCTCTCCATTTGATTGCATGGGAGAACTGCAATCACGGAATGTCACGTTCCGTCCATTGTTCTCACTTACATCTGAAGCACTGCTGCCAACAGAATCACAACTGAAGACTGGGGTCTTTGGACTCTGACCCACTGGCCTTGAACTTTGACCTACTGGCCTTGAACTTTGGCCCACTGACATTGACCTTTGACCTAGAGGCCTGGAGCCTGAATCAAACTGGTTCTCGCTCAAGTTCAAATTTTGCGCTGACATTCTTCGGTTCTGTGGCACCTCCTGAGGTATGTTAAACACTGGCTGTGATTGTGCGTGAAATAAACCATGAGAATGCCCCTTCTCGGGCCTCACCGTCTGTGGACTGTGACTTGGACTGGGGGAGTTGTGAGGCAGTGAGGTTCTGATGGGAGAACTCTGGCGTGGCTGTTGTATTATACTCAGTCCTTTCCCAAGCTGCTTGAAGGTGGGTGGCTGTGTGTGCTTGGGAGTACCATGAGCCACAACAGCTGCCCATCCCTGGTCTGGGGCTGGAATAGAAATTCATAATAATAATTATTATAATAACAGTATTTAATGTTATATTCATCTCTATGAGACATCTAATAAATAAATAATTAAAAATAAATAAATGCTAGATGGGTTACATGCTTAATAGAGTAACTAAATGTAAGATTTCATATCATGCTTACATAAATAATATAAGTTTTGTGCTGCAACACATTAATCATGCCAACTGCCAACAGTGGGAAATTGATATACAGTATTTTTATACAAGATATTATAAGTGTTTAAAGGGAGATTGTTACTGCCCATTATCTTTTCCTTATGTACTGATCTGACATCACAATGATGCACTCTTTTAAGAGATGGAAAAGTTTTACAGAGAGAGGAGAAAATCTGGGTGAATTCAAAAACAGAATGACATCATGTCTGAACTGACGTTTAAAGTCCAATGGCGAGTTGGGGACCACAATGTTGGAAGGCACCCTGGGGGTGTTCAGAGCTGAGGCACTTTGACTGTGACGCAGGAACTGGAGGGAAGTGAATGATTCTGAAGAGGGGACTGCAGCTGGTGCTGCCACCTGTTTTAGTGTCAACAGTACTGTCTTCTGCTCCACTTTGGAAGAGCTCTGAGGATCAATGATGTACGACAGTTTGACACTGCGTGGTTGCTTGATTTTGGGCTGAAAAGAAAAAATAATCCCATTAAAAGAAACCTTTTTATTACATGAAGACTGACGCTTTACAACAGTGAATTTTTCAAAATTTATGGTGCATACTTATTTACTCCTACATTCAATGAGTATCATTTCACTTATAAGCACTCCAACTTTTAAAATTAAATGGTAACACTGTCAAAATAAAAAATAGGCTGCTCTACAGAAAAGTGCCACCATTTAATTCATGTTTGCAAAATGAAGTTGTTATGGAAAATACACTATATACATACACAACAAAGAGTCTAGCTTTTTTTTCTCGACTCACACATGTACCCCAAATGGATTCAAAGTTTAGAATGTAAGCTTTTTTTTTTTTTTTTTTTTTTTTTGTAATCAGGACCATGCTATCATGCATAATTAAAATGGAAAAATACCAATTTTATTACTGTGTACATTTTACCCCTTACCTCAAATGTGACAATACAATCCACAGTGATGGGTAACTCAGAGCCAATCTGCCACTTCTCCATGATATATGGAGGCTAAAACACAACATGGACAGTGGGTTTTTATTGTATTCCTACACAAACAATTCAAATCCCTAAACACAAATTTTCCCCCATCTTTCTGGGCTTACAATTTAAACTGAATTTCTAGACATATATGTATATAGAAGTGCAATTTACATATCATTTAATCAACAAATTCATAAATTAAATTTGCTAATGGCTGTGCCTAGGTAAAACAGAGTAGCTATCCATAACAAGCTATGGTTTGAAGATACCATCTTTCATTTACAAGCTAATAGTATGTTATATCCAATTTTGAAAAGAGGGCTTCACTGAAGTACGTTTTACTGCCATGGTAACTTCTTCAGCTGCCTTTGACCATAATAAAAGTGTGAATTCAAAACAGTTTCATTGGATCCCACTTTCTGATAGTTAAAAGTTTTCATTTATGACAGATCCACATATTTGTTCACCTTCACCTGAACAGGTAATTCAGTTGTGACCAAGTTTTTTTTAGAGCAAACAGGCTAAACAGTGAACAGGTAAATCAATCAAGTGGAACTAGCGTAAATGAAAACTTTTAACCATAAAATTAAAAGCTGTGTTACCTGTGTGAGTTTGACTGTAGTGAAAGCTGCCCCAGAGCTGGTAAAGATGACATCTCTGATACACGTCACGAGTGTCACATCGTCCTCGTCTTCAGTGTCATACTCCAAATACAGCTTCCACTTGTGTTCCTGGTAATCAACATCAGTTGAAACTGGTTAAGCTGGTGACTTAGTTATTTGAAACATAAGCTTAGGAATTATTTTCATATAGCAATTTTTTTACAATGTTAAAACTGGTCCCACACCAGCAAAATATCAAAGCTGGGACAGTTGAATTTTGTAAATTTGCTTAGTTCAGCTTTCAAATTGGCTTACTGATTTTCAGACTGACTGCTCTTGAGAAGGTTTACCAATTTAAAGTTTTTTTGTTTTTTTTTGGACAGCCTTCCGCCCATGGCCAGAGGAGGGAGGGTTGGGTGGTTCAAACGAATTGCCCTCTTTGCTGGTTGAAGGTATGCTCTGGATAAAATTTGATATAAATACAAGAAAGTTTCATGGTTAAAGGTCCAACTTTTTTAGATAAAGCCCCCCCCCCTTTACTGAAATTGCTGGCTATGGGCCTGAGACTGTAACATCTTCATAACCTCCAGCACCAAAAGCAATTTGTGATTTTATTATCATGACATAATTTTTAACTGTTGCACAAACCTGTTGATTTGCACCTTGTCTAAGATGACAACCTAACAGTAATGTTAGGGTGAGAGTCTTGTTCACTGCATTGGTCTTGTTACTAGGGGACTGCACCTGTACATATACAAGATAACAGTTCATTAATAAACAGAGTTATAATGATATTGTATGATGTGTTCAAGGCTTTCCAAGAGAGCTGTCCAGATAGCCACTGACTTCAGAAGACGGCCTATATTTCCAAAGATGGCTTACATATTTTTAGGGAGGAAATGACGGGTTAGTTCGTCAGGACTGTCAGGACTTGCTCAGTTGGTTTCACATTTTGGACTCTCTGTATCCAAAATCCTGGGAAACCCCTGTGCCTGATACAAGTTATTGTTTTGATATCATTCTTCTCTACATGCTAATAGTTTATTCAGACCAGGCTTTACTTTGTTCTTTGGCTTTCAGCACTTTGTTTTCTCTCCCTCTCCCACAAAAAAACATTATAATCAATATGTTCCAATTCATTCTTCAATCCAACATATTAAAAATGTTTGTTTTCTCACTATGGCAATTGAGATCAAATCACAACACATATTTACATATATCCTGTTGCCAATTTGCTTCCAATCAGGCAATAAGAATAATCCAGTTGTGATAAGCTAAATAATGCAATTAGTGTTAAGTTGTTACACCTTGTATCTTGTTTTATATTGAACCACCCCAGAAATAAGAGAAACATGTCCATGTGTGTGTGTGTGTGTGTGTGTGTGTGTGTGTGTGTTACCTTAGCTAAAGGAGGGAAGTTCTGCAGCTGCATATTGTGAGCCTGAAGCAGCTGGACCTCTGTCTAAAAGAAAAAAAAAAACTGAACATTTAAGATTCTGCACATGTACCTCAAGCATTTTATACTGAAAAACGATTAATTCTAGATCCAGATTTACCAAAGACTGTCAGCCTAGCTTAGAATGCCTCTGATAAAAATGACTATGTTAAAAATATTATTATATTAAATAATTTTAAACATTTCTAAAGAGACATAGCACACTTTTACATACTGTGTGAAGCATGACACTTAACCCATTCATGAAGACATCAGGCAACTTTTCACCCAAGTCAATCAGAAATCTAATTTCACAAAACAATACGCAAGTACTATATCAATCATTAATCAAATGGGAATTTAATTTCCACAAAGTTCATATTCACCAGTAACTCTATCCTGTGTCCATAAGAAGACATCCCCAGTGCCAGCAGATCGTCTTGCGTCAGAAGCAGAAGACGTTTCCCGTTGATATTGTTGTCTCTGAAGATTTCAGCATACTGGGCCAAATCCCCTCCCTGGCTTTCATTACTGATCTGCATCAACCACTGTTGCTGTAAAATATATGATAGACGTGGCTTTAATTACTGATTTGCATCAACCACTGTTGCTGTAAAATATATGATAGTCATGGCTTTAATTACTGATTTGCATCAACCACTGTTGCTGTAAAATATATGATAGTCATGGCTTTAATTACTGATTTGCATCAACCACTGTTGCTGTAAAATATATGATAGACGTGGCTTTAATTACTGATTTGCATCAACCACTGTAACAGTTGCTATAGATATATCATACAAGTAGCCTTTGTTACTATTCTGCACCAGCCAATGCTGCTGCAAAAATGCAAAAGATGTCACATCTTTACTACATATAATTCACTTACATTATGTCCTCCTTTTTGTGACAAACATATAAGTTTTTTAAGTAACACATCTAAACCTTTTGACAGCAATCAATAACAATGAAACCACATAATATTATATTCTTTCTCTAAGAAGCGCATAAAAATGAGTCCAGAGTCCATCTACTCACCACATCCACTTCCCTCCAGTTGCTCACGTCGTATGCATCCAGTTGCTGTAATACAATGAATGGTGATCATTTGCAAGAATATGTGCCTTAAAAGACCTACACGCTGTTATATAACACAAATGTGAACGTAGTTATTAAGAGAGAGCACTCCCAGAGACGCAAATTAAGTCAATTGAAATTGTCATCACTTCTTAACCATCTGAATAACTGTCCACCTTGGTAATGTCATCAAAACTTGTGAAGAATATTTTGAGACAAATTAACATTGATGTAAACATAACCTCCATCACTGATGTAGGTGATATAAATAGTTATTGTTAATATGTTATATTCTACATTTTAAGTTTTCATCTTGATTCAACCAAGTGTCCAAGCAAAGAGTTCACAACCCTGCATTTCAGTTCATTATATTGATAATTTTTGGTTACAATTACCACAACTTTGAACTGTGACTCTAAATTTTTCTCTCTTTCTTTCAGTTTGGTTTCTCTTGCAGCTAATTCTCTTTCCTTGGCGCTTAGCTCGCGTTCTGCTCTCTTCAGTCTGTCCAATGTGGCCTCTATCTCGTTCCTCCAGTCCTGTTTGTGTTCCAGGAATGAATTTGTCATGTCGGACACACTTTCTATAAGTAAAGGAAAAAATAAGTAACATAAACTAGAAAAGTAGAAAACACACTAAAGATAGAGACTTCCACAAGGGAAGTATTTAGTTTTATAAATAGTCAGACATAACGACTTGGATCAACTTTAAAACCAATACTCAGTTCAGATTTGTCCACCTGAAGATGGTCTTGGGATCACATTGGGTCACATTTCTCAAAATTTAAGATCCAGCATGAAAATCAATTTCGATTCTATCTTTTTCTTAGTTCAAAACAATTGGATGAATCAAAAGCTTTATTTTGATAAAAAAAATAGTTTTTTTATAAACTTAGGAACACATGGACCGAGTAATCTTACCCCAAGGAAATGGTAATGTAAAACATTTTTTTGTGAGAAAACAAAAGGTCTCCAGCACTCCTTACCATCATGTACTATAGTGTCCAGAGTGGTCAATATCTGTCTAAAGGATGGTCTGTCCTTGGGCGCCTCCAGCCAACATTGCTGCATCAACTGTGCAAAACACGGTGGACAGGTGCTTGGAATGGTCAGCCTCTGGAACAAGTTATAGCACACATGTTAAGTCTAGTTATTGTTGGTATCAGACGTCTGCCATGTTAGCCACTGGTCCTACACCTACAGACGGTAAATTTTTGTTTGGACAGAATGTGTGGATTGATTGGTCGTACATGGCCATTTGATTTTTTCTATGGGTTTTTAAAGAGATTTCAGTTAAATTATTATTATTTTTTTAAATGGAACTGTTACATGAGATTCTAAAAAAGAAAACAAAATTCATTTATGTTTTGTTGGATAATGGGCATATATGATGACCTCTCTCCACCACCAGCCAGGCCACCTGGAACCCCTCAATACCCTCAACCTACCTCTCCTCTCTCCACCACCAGCCAGGCCACCTGGAACCCCTCAATACCCCTAACCTACCTCTCCTCTCTCCACCACCAGCCAGGCCACCTGGAACCGCTCAAAACCCCTAACCTACCTCTCCTCTCTCCACCACAAGCCAGGTCACCTGGAAACCCTCAATACCCTCAACCTACCTCTCCTCTCTCCACCACCAGCCAGGCCACCTGGAACCCCTCAATACCTTTAAAGGGGACCTCGTGAGTTAATAACTCCCACAACACCACCCCATAGGACCATGTGTCACAGGTCTCTGACACAGGCAAACTCTGGATCACCTACAATTGTAGTATATCAAGGTTTAATTGGTAGTGAACATACACTGATGAACTCCCTATTTAAAGCTTCACTTTGTTAGTTTACCAGTACTTTTTTTCTTTTTTTTTTAATTAACAGCTAATACTAAAAATGTTCTTTTCATACCAATATTTTGATGCCACCTGGATGACCTTATTCTGAGAAAGATGCTCAATACAGACATTACTATTAGAATATTTGAGGCAAACAATTTCAATACAAGCTGTAGATTGAAGAACACTACTTTTAATCTTAAAAATGTGAAATATGAGTATAAGTGAAACTCTTGAAAAATTTAAGAAATTTCTGCATTCTGTGCTTACCTCGGGGGCCATCCATGGGAAGGTACCTGCCAGAGACATCTTGGTGGTACTGCCCATTATTCTGCTAGCACCAAAGTCACAAATCTGAAATAGATAAAAACATCAGTCTGCGTACAAAAACATGAACATGGATTGTGTGACATATAAACACTAGCCCTACTCTTGTTTGGAATACTAAATATTATTCTCAGACTACTTGATATATATCGGAATATGTTCTCAAGCTTAACATTTGTTACTTATTGGATGTAATATTGTTCTTAGACTTTTAAATAACTCATAAATAAACAATTGAATAAATAGCAAAATAAAAAATATCTTACCTTACACACCCAGTCTGCAGATATCACAACTGAAATAATCAATGTTTTAAAAATTTTATATAACTCTCTTCATAAAGAAGTCTTAGATTAAGAGTCTGGGCTAGCACCAACATCAGTTTCTTTAGTAAATAGTGTAAAAATATTTTACTGCAACTTCAGAAAATACCTTGCATTCAAATATCTTAATCTCACTTATTTACCTCTGACTTGAACTAGTACACTTAAGAAAAAAAAGAGATAAGACATCATAAAAGTGCAGTTCTTCCTTGCAACAGCAATGCAAACCCTACCATTTTTTGACTTGAGATCTCTGTGAATGACTCTGACTGGGGCCTCTGTGTGTAAATAGTTCATGCCTGGAATGACAGAAAATATGTTAGGTGTGACTAGATTCTGTTAGGTGTGACATTATTGTGTGACATCATTGTTTTGGTGTGACAGCATTATGTTCATATGACATGTATTTTTTGTAACATAATGTGCACTATGTACTGTATTAGGTGTAACATACCACCAAGGCAAACTGAATGATACACATTTCAGCTCATATTGTCAATTCTAATCAGTAAACAATTGGCATTATGACAACAAATGCAACAGGTCACGTATGTTGTGCCGTAAGTTAGTACCTAAGAGATGTGCATTGATCAACACTTTCTTGACCCTATGCAGTATTTCCTGTCTCAAACAGAAACCTACCCAGGGCAACATCATTAGCCCATTCCAGGATTTGTGTGAAATCCAGCACATTCTCCGGCTGCTGGAGGAATGCATATAGTGAGCCCAGTGGTGCGTATTCTGTAAAAAGAAAAAAACCTTCATATATAAATTATATTTTAAAAAGTATAATTGTTAAAAGAATATAAATGAAGTCAAATCACTGATATATTAATATATTAATGTCAGTGTAATTCAACTCAGAAAACATGTTTGAATTACTTGACACATGTCTGAATGGAACTTTGGCTGACAAACCAAATGAGGTTCTACAATGGTATTTTTGTTCCTTTTTCTTTTCCTGTTTTGATAATTTTCTAGGAATGTATCATTTAAGAGTTGGATAAGAATGTATATGTCATGGTCAGGACAAAGATGTGTAGTATACATCAAAGTTTTCATAGAATCAATGATATAATTACCAGTGACAATGGAATAATGTGGCTCCTTGGTGACTGCTCCATAGAACTGAATGATGTTTCTGTGACTGACAACTCCCAAAATCTCAGCCTGCAGAAAAGACAAGAAAAAAAGCTAAAATATTTATCCACTCCATTGTAATTCCTGAAACTTCCCCTTCCCTCCCTCTCTCTCTCTCTCTTTCAATATACTGTCATGATTACAAGTCACACAACAACTAATTGATCATTTTCTGATGTGTGTACGCATACAGGCTGACGAGAAAATTATAGGGCAAAACACAATGGCAATGGAAATAAGAAGACTTTCCCTTCCCTCCCCCTCTCTCTCTTTCAGTATACTAGTATAACATGTACAGCAACAGAATTACAGCACCCTCAGAATCACAGTGCTATCTCTCTGTGATTATCACCTGTTTGTCAAACTTTTCACAACTGTTCCTCTATTTTCAGCATCAACTTCACATAGTGATATTTTCAACACCACCACTGTATCTACATGAACTTTTCAGTTTTTGTTCTCAAGTAAGACCTTGTCAGTCATCAAATATATATATTATACCTCTTTATCCAACACTAGCAGTCTCTTTACTGCCACCTCTCTATCCTGTGACTTCCACAGTGCCCTGTACACACAGCCAAAGGTTCCTCCACCACAGCGTTCATAAAATTCCAGGTCCTTGATATCTATCTCATACAGGGCTGCCATGTTGACTATTCTTTTTCTGGAAAGTAGATGAATCATGATAAAATAAACCTCCGTGAATGACTTCATTGAATCTTTTCATAAAAGGACTCAATCATAATGTACGTCTGCATCAATCAATGTATATTTTACATGTGTAATTGTGCAATTTTGTGATTTTTAAGTTATACAAGTAATTATACAGATTAAAACAAACGTCAAGGTTCTAAGGGCATGATCGATGGACATTTTGGCTCCTTTTCCATTGTAAGTCAGCTTCATAGTCAACTAGATGAACTTAATCGCTGCAAAAAACTATATTTATTGTAAGGTCTGAAAGCAATCATTTCAACTACTTTCAACTTTCACTCAGAAAATGTCCCTTGGCAAACCGGGGGTCGGGGGGGGGGGGGGGCGTCACATATTTCCTTTACTCGGTATTTTGGTGTCTGATCATGATTAAGGTACAAAATTCTAACTTAGTAGGTTTGGCCAGTAATTTATAAATGTCCATCAAAGCGTGTGTCTACAGTAAGATGTTCTCGGTTGCCATCGAGTACCGATATATCAAGATTCAAGGCATCGCCGCTCAGCAAATCAATAAAATTATTACGATTCTTCCTTTGACTGCAAAGCATTACACTAAAGTCTTACCTAGTTTATCGCCATCAGCACTGTCGCTTTTTTCTGCGTACATTGATCCACGTGTATTAAAAAGAATACGAAGTATGTAAGGAAAACTATATTTTCCCCGATACTCTTTCTCCTTCCCAGACATACTCCCTGGAAGCCGACATAGTGAAATTTACTAAAACCAAGATCGTCTTAAACAGTAAAAACATCAATTGCTTTTATTGTGTTTAAAAGAGTTTAATATAATTTGGATATGGTGACATTAATTAAATTTTCAAAATAAGTAAGTCTTATTAAAATATAAATAAAAGAGCTTGCCTTAAATAATGCGAACATATCCATATCATTCCGAATGCATCTTTCTTTGTGACAGTCCCCCATGTGCAACTTCCGGTTTTTGGTGGAACGTAAAACGCGTTGAGCTTTAAAATTGTTTATTTGAGGTTTGTATAAAGTATTAAATGCGTTCTACAACCGTAAAAATATATCTTTTATCATTTTATGTGATCCTGGGTTTTTATGTAAACGAAGATAAAGAATGATGCACTACAAAGAAATATTGCAGTTTACAAAGCTGGGAGACGGTTAACCCGAGTACGGGGCTACCTGCTAATGTTACACCCCAGTACACACACATTTTGACTGATTTGTCTTCTAGAATAATAATTGAATTGGTTATGGGATTACTAGTTTATACGACATACCCCTTAAAACTTTTGTCCATGAAGCATTTTGCTGTGTACATTTGACTCTTTACAGTATGTCCATGTGTTCATTTAATGTGTGGATCACATTCCATTATTAGTTTTGATGGATATTTATAGTTTTATACTATTAATTCCTAAGATTCGATCTGCAAACATGGCAAAGAAGAAGAAGAACCAAGATTTCCAGAAAGTGAAACTGAAAGTGGGCCGTAAGTTACCCCGGGAGAGTTCAACCAACACCAGCTTCAAGACCCACTCCATTCAGATCAAGGAGCAGTTGACTCAGGCCAGCTCTACTGAGCCTACAACTAAGAGGAAGCTGAAGATTGAGGTAGATTGTATGCGTTGTCACAGATTAACATGTATAGGTACTTTTTCACAACAATGTATACAGACACATATTGTCACAGATAAACACAGTTATGTACAAATTACATGTAGGCATAGTGCCAAAAGTAAAAGCATTTAGACATATTGCCAAAGCTTAACATATTCAGACATGTATTCACGACAAAACACATGATTATAGACACAGCTAAACATTTAGACACATTTTACTTCTGAGATAGCCCTACCTTACACCAGTAACACATGAATCACTCCTAATAATGCAATCAGTACATATTACAAAATATTCTCGGTAAGTTGCTGTAGGAGCTTGAATGATGCATTTCAGGACCTGTTGAGTCAGTTGCAGCACTACAATGCAGGTTCCAGACACGGTGCCGTTGCAGGCCTTCGGGAACTCGTCACTACACACCCTGCTCTCATTTCACAGCACCTGGCAGCCATGTTGGAAAAAGTGACTCCGCTCTTTATGGATAAGGATTCTGTGGTGAGGCAAGCCGTGATTAAGTTACTGAAGGTGGTGCTCTCAAATACTGACACGGGAGAATTGGTGCCTTTCTTTGGCATTCTCAGCAGCCATCTTAGCTGTGCCATGACACACATAGTAGAGGACATCCGATTGGATGCCTTGTCTGTCCTTGACGTTTGTCTTGAATTCCACCCCAAGTTGATCATCACAGGGACATCTCAGTTGCTGCCCAATTTCATTGATCAGATATCGCAGTGCCAGTCCCAAGGGAGTAAATCGGGAGCTTTCTCTTTGACTATAAACCCCAGTGGAAAGATGGGGGCGCTGAAATGGAGGGGGAAAGTCTTGGAGAGACTAAACAGGTTCCTGTCTGTTTATCTGGAAAGTTTCCCCAAGAGGACTGGAATGTTTGAAACAAGTGAGGTCTGTCATGTTGGGTGGAAGGATGATTGGATAACATGTTACCAGCCCTGCTCTTCTGTGGGATTGATAAACAGTGATTTTACATTCAGGTAACATATAAGGATGTGTTGAAGCAAAAGTATTTGCTAGTACTGTTAAAGAAAACCACTCAAAAACAGATGAATGAAGCAGTCTTAATTCTTACAAACTTACCCTAGCAACTTCAGTCTAACTTATACATTGTTGTCCATTTATTCGATAAATTTTCTTATAATGATACTGATATAATTTTTATATTTCGGCAAGAAGTTCCCGTTAGTTCTGACAGTTCAATTTTACTATGAGAACCAATCTCTTGCACAAGTTCCTTTTTTTAGTAAACAATTTTTAAATTCCTATTTGTGTACTGGTTGTCTGTTCATTTTTTTCTTGATTATGTTTTGAATATTATATGGTTATTCTGTCTAGTTGCAGTTCTTCTCCTGATTGTTCTTATTTTTTTAACTTTTAAATTTTTTATTTTTGAACCGCAGGTCGTCATTGTTGCCACAGCAGTCTCTTTCAACAGGTGCTGATTATTTGAAGAACTTCATTGGCACTGTTGTCCCCCTATTGTTTCAGTGTTGGGTAGAAGTCTTACCAGAGAATTCTGCAGGTAAATTTGCGAGACATGTTTCTTTGTTTAATATTCTGTCAGTCTTTTTCATTAGAAAATCTATTTTCAATATTACAGCACCTTAAATGTTAGATGTAAACGAAATGACACCATAATTATATTGTTCTCTTACATCATTTTTCATGGAATTTCCCCCTTCCCCCCCCCCCCCAAGAACTCACCACTGTAACAGTCTTTCTACTTGTGTGGTTTTATAAGGTCACCCACTTCCAGTGGACAGTCATCCCACCATGTTTTGCGTGTTGCAAATCCTACAACATTTAGGGCTTTGTGTGGAAGCTCTTGGGGCAGAAGATCAAGCACTGTCTGTAAGTAGATAGTGTAGTTAGATTTTTTTAGGTGAACTCAAAATACATAGCAGTGCTTGGGCTTCTTAAATGGAAGATATTTTGGATAAATACATGGTTGTCATTTTTAACAATTTCATTTATTAGTGATAAAGATCCTGCTAAGTGTTAGAATTGGTTTAAATTGATAATATTTTTAGGAAAAACTGGACAATATGGAATTGCAGACTATAAAAATGATTGTGTGAATTTACTGAAAAAAGAAGAGCTTTTAACAGTTTACAAATCTTTCAGATGAATGCAATAATTGTAATTTTATATCATTATTTATATGATATTATTTTATTTTCTAGTTGGATTGGCTGTATGGGTTCTACCATAAAGACCTGAGACAACACATTCAGCCTCACTTTCCTTTTTCTTTCTGTGATACTGCCAAAAGAAACAGAAAAGCAAACAGGGTGAATGTTAAAGTAAGGGAAATTTACTCAGTACTCCCCTTTCTCTTGTTACTGTAAAGTAATGATTTACTTAATGCCAGTAATAATTACTATGTCACTTGCTGATGTTTATCTTTATTATTCTTTGCCCAGTTAGTACATTCAATTTATTTTCTTTCATTCAAAAAAGGAGGAATGATTTAGAACTTATTTTTTTCTTTTAGTCCCTCGCTCTGGATCTGAACCTGTGTTTCTGTGGGACTGTCTGCACATTTTATAAAACACACGACAAACCAGACAGCAGACCTTTACAGGGAATATCCACAGCAGAAGACAGTTTATTGAAGATGGCAGTTAGCTACATGACACAGGCATTTCCAACACCACATAACCCAGACCAGAGGAAAAAATCTGTTGCTATCATGAAGACGTTGGTGGAATGCTGTAGAACATCAAGTAAATATGCTTTATTTGAATTTTTTTTTAGTGGTACAACAGTGTCAGTATGGTTTTGATGGGTTCTGTCGTGTAATTGGGCAACTTTACTCACCTTAACAAGTTTGCCAGAAGTTCACTTCCTGCTGTTTAGAGGATGTTAATTGGTTGTGTCATTCTTTAAATAACTATTTCCAAATGTTTAATCTATACGGACTTATATAAAGAAAATTAAGAAATTTCTTTATGTTCATCTGAAAGTTCTTTACAGAATGTTTGGACCAGATATAATTGTAAGAATATATTAATAATATTTTTTTCTTGTACAGTAGATGCACAATATGGTCTCCTTACTGCTATCCAGGTGGCTTACAAGACAAGCCACCCACTTTCCAGTGAGCGGCGACAACTGATGGATTTTTTCAGTCATGTGATTTTTAAGTCAGATGTTAGCAACCAGTGAGTAACTTCTAACTTGTAAGAATCTGAATGTACATGTACATCGAAGAAATATGCTGAAGCAGAAATATATATAGTGTTTTTTATTTGAAATTACAGGGCTAAAATCATTTAATAGTTAAAAATTCAGAAAAGTCAAAAATCAGTAAGTGATCTGCCTTACTCAAAGTAATTTAAAATAAAGCTACAGACCACTAGATGTCAGCATGTGCCACAGGCACCCTCTTTTTTTAGCTACAAACATGTCATTCAAGAAATAACAGTCAAATAAAGTTTTCAATAAAATTAAATCCAAGTGGTCGTAACATATTAACTCAACATTTAGATCACTTTCAGTCAAGTGGTCAGTCAGTGGCTGCAAGGACTTCCTGAAGAGCTGAGGTCACTGTGGTCGCAGGGAGAAGTGGACAGTGCGATACCAGTGTTACATGTGCTGTCCAGTGCGGTCAAGACACAGCAGCATAACCAACAGTTTATGAGTTCTGTCCAGGTTGCTCTATTAGAACTACTGAGTAGGTAGCTTTAAGATTAACACAGACTTTAGCAGTGACTGTAAAGTCACACTCAGACCTGTGATTAGGTAATAATACTAATAATAAAGTTAATTGCCAATGTAAATACTATAAAATGCACATAAAATTGTTTTACTATCTCAGGTTTAAGTTGGATCAAATAAGTACATAAAAATAAAATAGTAATGCCAGAAATAAAAACAGATTATTATCTTTTACTATTAAAAAGAGATGTAATAGTTGGATAAAAGCTTTTTAAAGTCCATTTGCTTCCTCTAATAGTCGACACAGGTGACTTTGAAAATACAAGTTTGAGAGTAGGTGTAAAGTTACACCCATACCAGTCTTAAATTTGACTTTCTTAAATCCTGTTAAACAAGAGAGACACCTCTGAGCATTGCTTACTCTTCTGTTTTGTTTGTTTGTTTGTTTGTTTGTTTTTTGAAGTACATTGCATTTTGACACTTGGTAAATTAAATTAAAAAGCTGCACAAAATTTGAAATTTGTACATCAAGCCCTTAAATTGAGTTTTATCTTTTAAAGTCTTGTTCTGCATCTCTGTAATTTGGTCTTCTGTATTTTAGACGTAACTGTTACAGTATCAATTTTATCTTTAAGCTCAGAACAGGGCATCTTAATGCCAGTTCATTAGCGCAATCCACAATTTTGTCATATTTCACCGTAAAATATTTTGCTGACTTCAACCTTTATTTTCAGGCCATGACACTTTCTTGACACTTTCTTCCCAGCAGAAGGAGGTTGCAGAGATGTGTTACTACTTTCCTGACATATCACGGGAGCTGTATATAGGGCTGGCTGGCTGGTGCAGAAGTGTAGGTGGCAGCACTGAGGATAAAGACTACCTGGTCCAAGTCCTAATGTGCAGGTGCCTGCTTTTAATAGGATGATTCAGGGGTTGCCAGTTTTAAAGCTCTCCCTGAAAATATTTTAAATACTTACTCTATATGATATGATATTTAAAAAAAAATGGGTAACTAAAAGTAAAAAAGTCCCTAGAAAATTAAATGTTTGTATGCATAGATGCCAGCCTTGTCACCCACGTCTTGATCCCATAGCAAATTTTAATTTTTGTGATTGGATAAAAAAAGTCATTTACAGTGTTATATGGTGAGAGAGATGTTGATAAAAAATATGATTTGTTGACAATTTAACTAATCTCATGTTTAAGGCAGCAGATAATTGTGTTGAGACTTATTCTTTAATTTATTTTGAATAAAGTAATATTGTTTGTCATTTCCTTTTCTCTGTAATTGAATATTACCACATGGTTTTGTTGGCTAAATTACACCTCTTCTTTCACATCTGTTTTAAGAATTTCATATGAGATTATGTTATATCAGAGTATGCTGTCTGACTTTTTAATGCCTTTTTGTATGCTTTTTTATATAGATTGTAGGTTTTGATTCTTTTGTCCTATTTACTCCATGTAAGATTTTGCTTATAATTTAGATGGTTTTGTTTACTCACAACTAGCCCCCATTCACTGTCATTCAACCTAATAGAATACGGAATACGTCTGAGTGTAGGGGTCACAAAATGCTCTTCTTAGACCATATGTTTTTCTTTTCATGTTAGGTATTTGAAAGTCCGCCATGAAAATTGCAGCGTGATGGAGACATCCAACTTTATCAGTTTTTTATTGTCTGTTTTAATGGGTAAGATCACAGTCAGCTGTCTTGTTGATCAGTTGGTGAATCTAACAACCACACAAATATTAAAAATAATCCTTGTCAAGAAATAGTAGTAATGCACAGAGAACATGTTCAGAAAGATAAACGTATTTGTTAATGTTTTTTTTTTTTTTTAGATTTACCACGTTAATTCTAGGGCATACTATGTAAGATAACAGATTGGAAAAGAATATGCCAATCTCTATCCTCATCACCCCTGCACAGTTCACAGTAAAATAGACACAACCTTCAAATAACCTTCAAACAAATTACGGTAATGTCTCAATCTTTTCAATGGGCAAAAATAATATTTCTTTATGGCATTTGTGTTACTTTTACTGCATAGAACAGAACTATAGAGTAGCTTGCTTTTTGATTTTGTTGCTACCACTCAATAAGAATGTTCTAATTTTAAGAAATTATTAAAAATACAATATCTGCAAAATTCACAATTTTACCCTATGGAAAAGATCGAGTAATTACCATACTCAAACTGTGCAGGTCCCATATCATTCTGTTCAATTATTGTTTATTATTTATTTGTTTTTAAACTGAGGCAGTTTTCAATAAATCAGCTTTCACATTCAGAGTTCAACTTACAAAAGCTTCTCATGTACATTAACTGGGGAATCTATGACAACCAATTTGGCAAAGCTAACTGGGCTTATCAGAAGATTAGACACGCTCAAGAAAGAAAGAAGATTCAAGAAAGCCTTGTAGGCCATCACAAAATATCAGTCCTGTAAAAACACCGCTCCTTTTTTTTTTCTTTTAAAAAGCTTAACATGCAATGTCAGGTTTTCTGCTGGTTATTATAGATTCATCAGCTGATCTTGGTGACAGGTGCGTTATGTAATGTTATTTTCATGAAAATCATTGCTACTTAAGCTATAAAGTTATAGTTTTTTGAATTATTGATAATATTATATTATATTGAGAAAGTAAAGTTGATATCATTCAGTGTTTTCAACAAGGAAACTTTGATGATTACCCTATAATGATACATTCTTAACTGAAACTGTTTGTAACACAAAATGATTATCAGAAAGTTTTTTTTTTCTTTCCAATGCCAGGGACAAGTGTATCCAGTTTGGCTGAAGCTGGTTCTGGTCAGAAAATGCCCATTGATCAGTTATTTAAAAAGTATAGTTTTACAGACAGATCACCTGTTGGGCTTGCCATGGCACAGGTATGCATTTTCACTGGTATATGCATAATTTGAAGAGAGTGACTGGGTGAATGGGTGAATTTTATAACTGTGATAATACAATAATAACAATTTATGTAAAATTATAACTAAAAAGTAAAAATTGTGCATGTAAGTGGAAGTACAACTGTAACAGCATATTGAAATACATACCGACGTGAGGATTGATTTAATGTGGTATGTAATAAAACTGAATATTTGCTAATTAAATGTAAATTAAATTAAATATGCATTTTGAAAATCAACTATTGGATAGTTGATAACATAAAAATAATTATGGGAAAAGGTTGAGCTGAAGTCTTTTAATTTTTTTTGGGGGGGGGGGATTGACTTCATATTGCCACATAATTGTTTTTCTTATATATTATATACATAGATATTTTAAAAGTCCCAATCATATGACATTAAATAGGAAAAATAAATGGAATGCAATTAAAACCATAATTCATGTTCTGATCAGAAAAGAAAGATAATTCTTGGCCTTATTTCTAAATTACAAATAAATCATTTCAATTTTAGAACGTTTGCAGAGTTTTCAGACAGTTTCCAGAGGAAGACCAAGTGGGAAAATTGATGTCAACTTCTTTGTTTACCATTTTGGTAAGTGCCTTTTACAGGCATGATTTAGATTAATTCTATTAATTTATTTTCTGGTAATTTGATTAGAGTTGTGTAAGTCAAGATATAAGAACTGTTACCCCTGAGGCTCTGCAGAACTGCATGTATGTTATGAAAACTTAATAATCTAAAGTTTATCAGGTTCAGCAGTTTTCAAATTTGGGAACAAAAAATTAATTAATTAACCAGTAATAATATGATAGTAAGAATGGTTGTCTTATTATATTATCTTTGCTCCATGTTAGGGGAAACTTTCATGAGTTTGGAGTATTTTTAATTGATTCCAGAACAAATACCATCGATTCCCTATTAACACGGCAGTTGGTCTTCTCCATTGCTTTTCCACTGTCTCAACATTACCACACACTATTAAGTCCAGTTGGTCAGTACCTAAACCTTTGTTGTCCAGTATTGTCCAGCTGATGGGCAGTTTGCTAGAGTGGGCAGTGGGCGATAAAGAAAAGGATACTACTGATGCCTTGAAAGTGGTCAAGGAAACTTTGACCTCATCAAAAGATATAAGGAAGCTTTTCCTAGGGGAAATTCTGAGTATTTTAACAGGTATGACTTTTCTGATGTATTGTTAGTATTATAGAAAAATAATTTTTCATGTGAATGAACATTTGATGAATTATTTAGAATGGTTACCATAATTTTATTAACACTTTGACAGCAGCTGAAAAGAAGCTACCACACAACTCTCTCTCTCTCTCTCTCTTACACACAAGTGCACACACTTTACTGATAGTTTGACAATTATGATGATAATTATATATTCTTCGACCAGATGATGATGTTGAAGACCATTATCCTGCTTCTGCATCACTATTGTTAGTCATATTGCTTCGCGATGATGAAATGGTCAAACATTTTGGAGACTGCAGGGATGTCATGAGTCAAGTGAAAAAGGCAGTGGAGGTGAGTCAACCAGTCTAGAAAGATCTAGTTTTGGACTTCATGATTTTTTTAATATGTACACATATGTGTCTTTGCATATAGCAATCAACTGCACATGTCATAGTCGCCATGGATGTGTACTTTCAGTGTTATAATGATAAGTGGAAAACCATTTGACCTTTTGTTTTCAAACTTACAGAGCTGATGAACATTCATAAAATATGGGTCAAGTTTGAAAATCAGCTTTATCGGACCAATTTTTTCAAAAGTTCTGCTATTTTTTTGTTGGCTTTTTTGCATCACATTTTATCCATTGCTATACAAATGAAATGAAATTATCTTACTTTTTGTCCCCAAACTTTCTGAACTGATGTATATTCAGGACCTGATTGGAACTTTTAAATAATAGTGATGCTTTTTTTTTTCTTTTTTAACATATTTTTCTCCACAGTTATACAAATAAACTGAAAACTGTTTTACCTTTTGTCTTTAAACTTATAGAACTGATGAATATTTATGAAATACAGATTGAGTTTGAAAATAACCTGACCATTTTTCCATAAATTACGCTGTTTTTATATTCTTACTTTTTTTAATGCATACATTCGCCCTTCAAAAAATTGGACTAATAAGATTTGTAAAAGTGATTTTTTAACATTATCTGCATCTTAGCAATTATGTTAGTTGATTTCATATAATAAAATGTTAAATCTGTTAAAATTTTCTAATAAAGTGTAAATAAAAGATATAAAATGGAAGTAAATAAAAAGTGCAGTATGTCAAATTCAATCCATCAGCATGTTTAGAATCTCAGGATGAGCAAATTGGACTTTTTTCTTTCCTGTTGGAAGCCTTGCTGCCTTAATTTAACATTCTCACTCTTATTCTATTACCCTTCCAATCTTAAATTATATTTTAATTTGCCTAGGGCACTTCATTACAAAAACGAAGTGTTTGTTTTTATCATTTTTTTTTCCACCCATTCAGAGTGCTGAATCCAGAGGTAGCCACAGAAGCCAGCACGTGTTGGACTGTTTATATGTTGTCTCTACTTTGTGAAACCACCAGAGTTGAGTGTGCGCAATTGTCTTGGGGACCACATTCCAAAGTAAAAAAAAAAAAAAAAAAAACTGATGGAACAATTACTGTGCCTACACAGAGAAAAAAACGAACCTTTTACTTCACTAACTGATCTGTCTTCACAATTTGTATGGCTAATCTTCAAAAGCGAAATGGGTATTAGCGACAATAACTGGTCATGTATCAGGTCACTGTCTCAGCTATGAATACAATACATGGTCAGATGTGGAAGCCAATTGGGCATGGTCATCCCGCTCTTCCAAATCAAAACAGTGAACTCTGCTTTTGTCCAGTCCCATAAAAGGAAACAAAAACTGGGTTCGGGTACCTAGATTGATCTAAAAGGAATGATCCATCTCCGAAGGGTTTCTCACAAAGTTGCTTTAACCTGAAGTGGCTTAGATGTCTGGCACAGCTACTGAAGCTGCTTAAGGATATTTAAGTACCCCCTAGCAGCTTTAGTAAGCATGGCAGACATCTAAGCCACTTAAGTTGATTGCAATTTAGCGAGAATCCCCTCGAAGATAGATCAATCCACAGTTAGTACGATAGGGTCTGGGTGTGGTCCCAAAGTCTTCTTGGGTTCACAAGTCCTATGGAGTATAAAAGTGTCCGAAATTGCTTTTTAAAAAGTGCCACAGTAGGTTGGGGTGTGTATGATGGGAAGCACTTTAATACTTCCATTGTATAGCTACATTCATTGTGTTTGAGAATTCTTTTCTAAAATCAACTTTTGCATATTAAGATGTTTTGCATGTTGTTTAATGATCACCTAAGGCATGGAATAATAATGTGCAGTACTAGAAGAATTTATTGTGTTTGTATTTGGTTGAATTTTTCTGAAAAAAATATCAGATTCAAGCAGGAGCACCCTTATGGGCTTTTATGTAAAGATAAATGGAATTGTTTTCAAGTATCACCCAAGTGTGTTTGATTGGGAGCTGAAGCCAGTTGCACCTATTCCATTTCTAGTTTCCCGTGCAGCAATGACTGGGAAGCAATGTTGCAGTTTTCCTTAAAACTCTTTGTGATTGATCATCACCTTTAAATGCAGGTAAAATTAAAAAATGGTCCCCTTTTTGATTATCACATATGGCTGTAGTATATATTGATTATTTTGTTGAGAAAGTGCGGCCAGAAGCCACAAAAAGACAATGGAGTAGTGGTCTTGTGTGTTTGGAAAATTAACTTTAAAGGTACATACGAACCGAGCATCGGTGGAGCGTGGATTCCCAGTAACACATGTAAACCACTTCTACTAGATTCTTATATGACTCAAATAAATTTGACATGCCAAGGGATAAACTGAATAGATCACTCCATCAGCTGTAAAATACCTTTAGACTGCTCCTTTCTTTAAATTTATGGTTGTAAATTTAACCTACTTCCATGACCTACTTTCCTGCCCCATTGATATACAGCTTAGAATGCCAGCAGAAAAATCTGTTCAAACATCATTTTCGGGTAAAATTAAACAATGCATTTTGGTAATTCTCTTAGTTATCCTACTTGAAACTGTATGCTGGCATTTGGTTGGTTTTTGTGACAAAAAATTGACTTTGTATGTATCTTTAAGGTAAAAACAAAATTTCCAGAGATTTTGTAGTGTCGGTGTTTATAGAAGAGAAGTACAGAATGCAAAATGAAGCAAGTGACAAATCAAAAAGTATCAACAGAACGCATTTTGAATGAAAAGTGTTCATCCCTCCTAAACTAACCCAATCCCCCCCCCCCAAAAAAAAAAAAAAATAATAATAACAAATATGAAAAAGCCAAATTAAATTAGAACATTTCACAATGAACTGTGTTGTAAAGTATATCTGGATTATTTTAGGCTTAACTGGACATGACAACTGTCTGTGCAGTATGGCACTGGATATTTAAAGATCTAGTTTATATCCATGATAGCTTGCCTCTTGTAAATATCCCCTGTTTTCCTTACCAATCTTTGGTCAATCCCACTGTTGTACTTGGTCTATTAGAAATGAGATAAGTTAGGACAATAATCTAGGCTGTTTTTAGGTTTAAATCAAACTGGCAGCTGTGCACTATGCACTATATGCACTATGCACTATATTTAAAGATCTAGTTTATATCCAAAATAACTTGCATCTTCCTTGTAAATATCCCAGACTTGCCTGGCCAATCTTTGGTCAATCCTGCTGAAGTACTTGTGTATTAGCTTCTGTCTAAAAGGAATATCTGCCCGATGGGATTGCGGGAATTGGCTTATCAAGTTTTCAGCATCAATCAGATGAAACAGGTTTGCTGCATCAGTTTGCAGAGTTTCGTGATGAACAGTGATGTCATACTCAATATAACAGGGCCTACAAAAGTCGTAAACTAAATTCCAGTGAATATTGTCTGGTCCATTATCCACTATATACCAAAGTAAATCCTGAAATGTTATGTCTTTATTTCTTGAAATGTTCCTGTTGTACTGCTGGTTGATATAAGCTTTCACTAGAGGACCTAGCTGGCGTGGCACTTGCTCCTTGAAAACTGACACAATTCGTTCTATTGGGTGACGCACAACTAAAACCTTAAGATAGTTTTTAATGCGCATTCTTCTTTCGCTATTGTTGAATGTGACTAACGGGGTAAAGGTTTGCTTCTTGTTCTTGTTGGATGTTAGATTTGATGAAGAAAAATGCCCAGTTAGCATGTTATATACTATTTTCCAGTTACGACTTGCGGCTTTATACATGAAACACAAAATGAGTTTGTGTTTGTCATCGACAAGAATCCATTTTGCACTAAACTTATGGGAGTATGAAACATTTCTTCTGTTGTGGCATCTGTCTTGTAACAAACTTTTTCTTCTTTTGATGACTGACACCCAATCTTCTGGCACTTTGTTCCAACTGAATGACTGAAAGAATATTTTAAAAAGTCACGTCAACTGAGAAATGTGGTGAATGTATAAGAGGTGGCCAACAAAGATCACACACAAGCGTGGAAGCAGAGTACAGTATCTAATGGCGCAGCTCAAATCTGTGTAGTTTGATGGGGTTTAAATAGATATGGGATAATGAAATTTGATATGGAATTGTAGTTTTGAGATAATATTTACTTTTGCTTTAAATCTGTAGCTATCTGTGTGTAATTTCTGTAGCACTGAGATGCACGTCGAATAGTTTGCCTTTAATACTATTTATCATCAAATCACATGCAAAGCAAAAAAATAAAATGGAAGCAACTCTGATATTTTTTATATACTGATACACAGTGAATAGGAATGTTTGATCAAACTGGTGTTGATGAAAATATTGAGAGATGTACAGAGAAATACCTGCCAGATTGTATCATCTATGACATCATTCTCTTGATTGTATTTATTTCCGAGAATGCAGTATGAAAAAAAAAACACTAACTTTTACATTTACTTCATATTGATTCTTTTTGAAGTGTATACATTTACACATGGAGAAACTGGTGAAATTGTTGATAAAATATTGAGAGATGTACAGAGAAATACCTGCCAGATTGTATTATCTATGACATCATTCTCTTGATTGTATTTCTGTGTTCCATTAGAGATGTTGATATATTTGTCTTTGAATTCATCTTGATTTGCTTCTTCGCTTAGGTGAACTTCAGCAGGTTGAAAAGGGAGAATCTGGGCTAGGCGTTGGGTGCCTAAAAACATTGCACAATTATGTGATGAAAGCTGAGTCAATTTGATTTTATATGATTGTCAATTGAATACAAAAATCCTTCTGATTACCATCCACTTATTTGGAATAAGTTGGCAAAATAGTAACCCAAAACACACCTATGTAATTCAGTTTAAATGAAACTTTCAGTTGGATTTTGTTTCATACATATTCTAATTTTCTTAAAATAATATTTTTTACCAAAAATTCCCTGCACTTTCTATTTACCTTAGATCATTTAAAACATGTCTTATAATTCTTCTTCCAATTCCAATAATGCTTGTTTTAAAATAGATATAATCAATATTTGTGTTATTGTAAGCAACAAGTTACAAAAATTTCAAACAGTATACTTACCCATCCAATACAAAAAGAACAATATTGCAGAGCACTGAGTTATTAGGAGTAAAACAACAAGGACCTTTGTCCATGCCATCATAATAAGTATCTTATCACCAGGGATGATCTGTCATAGTGCTTATTCTTAAGTGGCTGCTTCTCAAGTTAAGGGTTACATTTTATCTCCGAGAATGCAGTATGAAAAAAAAAAAAAAAACACTAACCTTTACATTTACTTCATATTGATTCTTTTTGAAGTGTATACATTTACAAATGGAGGTGAAATACCAGTACATCATGTATACTTCATTCTTATATTACATCAGGCAAGCTGTACCATTAGATCAAATCTATCAGATTCAGCAGTTTTCAGTTTTTGGCCCAAAAGATAAGTTAATAATTAACCAGTTACTGTAATGATATCCCTGTTAACATGGGGGTGCTATTATATTATCTGTGTAGCATCTTAAAGGGATAATAACTCTTCGTACGATATCTATATTTCACAATAAAAACATTGTGAACAACTCATAGAAATATAATATATTCTGTTTTACCACAAAAACGGCAGTTATAGCTATTATTCTGATATCTGAGCTTTTCTTCAGATCACGTGACCTCCATTGATGGCTGTACTCTGTTATAATCTCTTAAGATATTTTAACAAAAAACCAAACTCTTTAGAAAAAAAACCAGGGACTAACTTCGAATGTAAAAATGAATTCATTAACCACTGGTAAGTATGGGAAATTTGTTGTTTTCTCCGGGAAAATTCATTTTTTGGCCAAAACGAAGAGTTATTATCCCTTTAAGGGAAACTAGTATGAGTTTGTAATCGATTCCAGAACAAAAACCCTTGATTCCCTATTTACATGGGGTCGGTCAACTCCATTGCTTCTCCACTGACTCAACATTTCCACATACTAAATAAATCCAGTTGGTCAGTGCCCCAACCTTTGTTGTCCAGTATTGTCCAGCAGTTTCCTAGAGATTGCAGTGGGCGATAATGAAAAGAATACTACTGATGCCTTGGAAGTAGTCAAAGAAATTTTGACCTCATCAAAATATATAAGGCAGCTTTTCTTAAGTACTTTATCAGGTATGACTGCTCAGGTGTATTGTTATTAGACTTAAAAAATACTTTCCATGTGAATGAACATTTTTCATTATTTGAAATGGACAAGGGAGATGTATAATATAATGCACAATTATAGAAATGAATGATTATCAAATTATTGTAAAAAGGCCAGAGGCACTATATACAGTGAAATAAACTTTACCATTCTCACTTTAATATTATACTGTTTCCCTTCCAATCACATTCCTATATTATATTTTAATTTGCCTAGGGAACTTCATAACAAAAACCTAAAATGTTTATTTTTCTCAGTTTTTTTCCCACCCACCCAGAGTGCAGAATCC